TTATAACACAGATAAGTTCATTGACAGTAAAAACATCCCTAGGAAACCTTACAAATTTAGTAACAGTTTTAAACAGAAGCAGGTATTACAGGATAGGCACAGCCCTAGGCCCCAGATGCTGCCTCTCCTCATGAGTTCTCTCCAGAGCATCTTTCAGGTTGGCCACTATTCTCAGAGAAAATATCCTTCTACATACAAACCTGGACTGCTCACCTCCTAGATAGTTGAAATTACCTTTAACAGCCTGTCCCCTTACAGGGAACAATTGCATGTGGCTATCAGAATAGAAGTTTTGGTCATCAGCTGTAACTATCCAACAACTATGGCTATCAAATCTTAAAAACTGTCTTTGCCTTCACAGGTGTAAAATGTTCTATTCCTTCTGATTCTTATTATAAGAGATCTTTGTTCATTGACCTAGGAAAAGTTCTGACTATTAATAGTCTATTAATAGTTAACAAAATTAAAAACTAAAAAAGAGTTATCATAATTCATATTGGCCAAATTTATTTGAGTGAACTCTGATTTTATAAACAAATTGTCTTATGTGTTATTGTTTGTCTATCTGTCTGATCTGTAAACAGCTGTTTTATTTGAGGTCAAAATTTTTTTCTCTTTTTTTTTGCATTGTTAAATTTTTGGAACATTTGTCTGTAATTTCAGTCATCTTATAAATAAATGTCACTAAAATTAAAAGCATGCTTCCACCTAAATTGCTGGTTGATCAAGATGAGGTTAAAGTTGGTTTTATGAATGTAATAGGTATTGTTATTCATGTTCATAAATAAAAATAATGTGTTAAGGTTATGATCTGGTTCTCATATGTCATCAAAAATGCTAAAGTAATTAAATTAGAACGCTTTAGGCTTGGGGGAACTATTGTTCAGGACTTTCTTAGGTGAATAGAGGAATAGCTGCCTGAAAAAATAATATTCCAGCCTTTGTTCATTAGTGGGGACCCCAGTAGCCATGATAGCTTTATAGGAGACACCCAAATAAACATTGTTAAGTAAGTTATTGTGATATGTTTACATTGGTCTTTGTCAAAAGGTTAAGCTTTCTATAAATAAAACAATTTTCTCATTGTAAAATGCTCTTGGTACAAAACTAAATTAAGAAACAAAAGTTTTTGCATGGTATAACAATTCATTGATGCTATCTCCTGGTATATTAAATATATTCATGCCATCCAGATGTACAGGGCTTCTAAATTGTAAAATTGGTAGTGGGATTGTTTGTAGTGATAAGCTTTCTCTTTTAGATTCAGGTATCTTCTTTTCTCTTGTGCTTCACCTACTTGTAACCAGAGGTGTACATCAAAGAAACATGAGACCACCTGTCAAAAAATAATTTAAAAAGTGGGGTCTTCTATGATCTTTATGTCATACTTTATCTCTCAACTGCATTTAGAGATACTTCTTCAGAGGAAGAGTATTATAGATAGCTCAGTTATTTAGAATCACATACTCACCTTTCTTTAAAAACACAGTTACAGAACCAAAAAGGAATATGGCTACCTCAACATGTGCAACCAGGTTTTGCTATCATTTCTATAAATTTTACCTTAAAGATATAAAACCTGGCTGCAGAAGTTAAATACTGCCCAGCAGTACTTCACTGGCAAAAGGACAAAGCTTACAAGCACACTTAGGGCTCAAGTCCCTTAGGAGGGTATCCAATCAGGGAAGTGGGATGGCCCAACGTGGGCTTGAGGGCAGAGGTGAATTTAAGCTAGAAGTAGTGGTGCTCCCTTCACATTAGTATTACTGAAACCATCTGTCTGATAAGAGTCTTCTGTCACCTGTTGGATTCTTGCTGGAATTTAAAATAGGATGAGCTCAGGGTAAAGTCCTTAAGCAGACTATTTCTATGTATGAGGGAAACAGTTTCCAAAGTAATTCTCAGTAATCAAAGGAGGATGTCTTTGCTCATAACTTATAGGTACTAGAGAGTCCTGTGGGGCAAAGTCTGGATTCTCACAGCAAATAGACTCACCCCAAGTATCTGGAAGGCTCTTCTAGTGTTTGTTGCTGCTGTCCTTGGGGTTGGATTTGGCACTTGCATGTTTTCTTGGTCCAGCGGGCTGCTAGGAAAGACTCCTGGAGATGTCAGCGAGAGTGGAGCACCCTGTCCTGACATTGTAAATCCCCCAGGTTTCTGATGCATAGGAGCCAGGGGAATGCTTTGTGGGTAAGGAGTGGGTGTTTCATGCCTTGGGTAGGTAGATGGCTTCATTGACATTGTTACAGCCTGAGGATGAATAAAACAACAAAAGGGACACATCAAAAAAAATATGAAAGCATTTTGCAAAATGTGAGTATCTATGCAAATGGAAGAAGGGAAGTAAGCAGGTGGTGGACAGTGACACCTGGCTGAAGGAGATTCACATTTGACCGTGGACTCTGCATGTTCTGTGGTTTGTAGGCAATAGGGTGGAAGTGAGGAGAGTGCATGTCTTGAATTTTTCCTGTTAAGTTTTGTAGGCTGTGTGTATGTTTGTGTGTGTGTGTGTGTGTGTGTGTGTGTGTGTGTGTTCATTGAGTTGATTGTTTCTGAAAAGACAACAGAAGGAGGGAAGGAATTGTGAGAGGCAAAGTAGTGCTTCTCCTCAGAGAATTGCAAGTCCAAACCCAGGCACCTGTGCATCTGTTGGGCTCCCTGCCACAGGAAACACAGGCTGCAGGTGGAGTGAAGGCTGCCATTAGCTGACCTTGGCGTTGGCTTGCTGGTTTGGCCCAGGGCTATCACAAGGGCCCTGAGAAGTGGAGGAGGGAAACAGAACTTTCAGAGAAGGGGCAACTCTGAGGCAGGGAGGATTAAGAGAGGCTGCCGGCTGGCTCTCTGCACTAGGGCCCCCTAAATTTCTCTTTTGTGTTCCTGATTGGCACTTTCTTTGCTTGCCACTTTCTTGTACTTAGAGAATGTCAAGAAGTAGGAGTTAGAGTGTGTTCACCCTTGTGCTGAAGTAGGAATTACCTGAGTAGCCTCTGGCCCTGTGTCCTGGCCTCTCAGCAGGGTCCCGTGTTCTGGCTGCGCTCTGTTAGGACCCTGTGATTTTGCTCAGGAAAGGACTTTCCTGCCTACTCTGTCTCACCCCTTCAGTGCAGTATAGACTGAAGCTGGCAGCAGGGAAATGGTTGCATCGGGTTCCTCAGAGAAGGGGTGGCTGGTGGGTGAGGACTGGAGAGTAGGCTTGCCCAGAGCCCCTCAGTGCAGCTGTGCAGCTTCCCTGTGGAATGTGCAGAATTTGTCTCCTGGGCCAGCCTGGTGGCAGCACTGCCCTGGTCCTGTACTACGTATCCAAGCCTGCTGGCCTCTCCTGCTGTGGACAGGGCTCTCTGGTCCATGCTGACTATTCAGTGCTCAGGCCGGCAGTGCTGTCCTCTGCTGTCCTTGGGTGGGTCTTCCAGGGAATTGACTCTGGTGGGGTAATAATTTAAAGTCTTATAAAAGTAGGTAGTGAGTTCATGAACAAAAACCAAACAGTGTGGGAAATACTTTAAAGAATCAACAACTGAGATCTCATCTTTTTGAAAAGTTTCTGCCTTTCAAAAGAAATCTCCAGAGGAGTACAACAGAAACCCATGTATTGGGAAAAAATTATAGCTGACTGTCCTTTGACAAAGGCCTTCCACCTAGAACATGTAAATAACTAAAAAAAATTAGGGCCCCCTAATTCAAAGATCCAATCCAAAAATGGACATCTGCTATCAGTATACACTTCTCAAATGAAGAAATAGCAAGGGAATATATGAAAAAATGTTCAACATCACTGGTCATTTGAGAAATGCAAACTAAAACACTGAGAGTCCATCTCACCGCAGAAAGAATGGCTCTTATCGAGAAGTCAGCCAGTAACAAAAGCTGAAGGGGCTCTGGGGAGAAAGGAACCCTTCTACTGTTGGTGGAAGTGTTGCCTGGTACAACCACTGTGGAAATCAATGTAGAGATTCCTCAAAAGCTAGGGTTGCAGATCCCATTCAGTGCATCTATGCCTGTCCTGGGTATTTTTCCAGAAGAACTGAAAACATCATATCACAGAGATACACGCACACCAATGTTTATAGCAGTGCAGTTTGTCATGGCTGAATCTTGGAAACAACCCAAATGCCCATCAGCTAAGGAATGGATAAAGAAGATGTGGTGCTTTTACACAATGGAGTATTATTCTGCTATAACAAGGACACATTTGAGGCTTTTATTGGTAAATGGTTGCAACTACTAACCATCCTCATAAGTGAAATAAATTAGGCCTGTATGTGCAAGCATCATATTGTCTCTTTAGTGTGAGAACTTGAAAGAGAAAATAAAATATGAAAGGTACAATAGATACTGGGAAAAGAGAATGAACCTATTAAAAAGGAATTACTGAGAGGAGAAGGATAGAAGAGGGAGTGGGGGAAAGAGATATCTATGTATGTATGTAAGCAGGATACTGTGGATTTCTCTTGGTCTGTGGAAAGGAGAAGTTGGTGCTTAATTTGTTTTGTCTTTTTTCCAATTCTTTGACCCCTTTCTCTTCTTAATCTCTTTTTTTATGTATTTAGTACAGGGTGTACAGGTCTCACTACACAGATTGGACTTGTAGTGATCTTCCTGTTGTCAGCCTCCCAAGTGCTGGGACTGCAGGTGCACGCCACCACATCCAGTCTCAATCACTGTCTTAGCATGCCACAGCTGGCCTGGCACACCGGGGAGTGAACCTTGGCTGCTGCACTCTGCCTGTGCAGGTGCTTAGGCCACTGAGCTACCTGGCCAGCCCTCTCTTCTTAATTTCTTAAATATTTCTTTCTTCTTGCAATGTTGCATGCATATACCTGGTAATATGAACAGGTAACTTGAAGACAACAGTATGCAATATAACAAATACTATGAAATTCATATACTTTTGTTTAGTGAAATTCTGTATTATTTGTAATTTTTCTGTTTTAATACTATTTTGTACTCTCCTTAAAAGCTAAAAATTAAAAAAAAAACACTTTAATGTCTCTTCTTCTGATAGGAGGAGTGCAGATGCAGCCCCCACTACCACAAGTTGTGCAGCGGAGCTTCCCACAGCTGGGGAACCGCAGGGCTCAGCGCGCCCGGAGTGCACCGGGCGAGCCGCGCCCTGGGAAGGCCACTCTTGGGACTGCAGTATTTCCTCTGCCATGTACGTGTTCTAATATATTTTTTAAATGGAGAAAAAGATGTAAAGTGCTACAAGATTAAGATTTAAATCAGAGCCCTGATTTCTGGCAGGTGTCTGGCTCACAGGACACACATAATTAAACCCGCAGGAGGGCAGCTTTGGTTTCAGAAGACTCAAGAGTCAAGACCACATGACTTCACACCCATGAACAGGCTTATTGTCCACCAGCAGGGGAGAGGGTGGGAAACAAATGGGGCTCTCTAATACTCGGTGTCTTGCTGCCTTTTCCTGTGGCCGGGAGTGTAAATGTTGTTTTTTCTGTCTTGCCTCCTTCCTGGTCTCCTAGCTGGGGCTGGTGCTGTCTGTGCAGTATTGGGTGAGACCGTGCCCTTTCATGGTCTCTTCTGTGTCACTGGTGTAGGACTGTGCTTATAAATCTTAGACATTAACAGGTGACTGGTGCCACTAAACATGCCATTTTGAAATTAAATGTATACCACTTTTTATAAAAAAAAAGAGATTACTTCTGTCCTGCTGTCATGCGGCTCCTTACTCAGAGCTCTGAGGTGTAGGGCACAGGGTTTCTAGAGTGTTTTCCACTTCTTTAATGATCTCACACCAGGGCTGTTTCTTGTGCAGTTGCTGTTGTAGGTCTGAAGAGGTCTCCATTTTTTTTTTTTTTTTTTTTTAGTTGCGGTTCTGGGGATTGAACTCCGGTTGTGCGTGTCTGTCAGGTGCTTATGCCACTGAGCAGTCTCCCTGACCCTGAAGAGGTCTGTAGAGAACCTGCGAAGACGACACCAGCAGTCACTGAGCCCCCGTCTGGACAAGGCTACTGACTGACCGCTGCTGCTGTTATTGGTATGATTATTGTGGCAGGCATTTGTTAGGTGTATGATTTGCCAGGCCTCGCTGTAAGACTCACGGAAGTTAACGCTGTGAATGTGGGTCACAGAGAGGTCAGGGAACTTCCTAGGATTGTGGTTAGCATGTGCCAGAGTAGAGCCCCAGGTGCCACTTTCGTATGTCACAGCTCCTGACCTTCGTGGACGGCAGCGTGTTCCTCTGCGCTCGTTGGATGGAGCTCTCCCCGCAGGCCCTGGCTGTTTTCCTCAGCACATCCTGTCTTGTAGGAGGAAAGAGTGACGCTGGTGTGTGGACGGCTGGCGCGAGTGGTGTCACAGCGATGTAGACAGCTGTGTGACTGTTAATTTCTTATGAGAAATGTTAGAGTCCTTTAATTGATTTTATAAGGCCTAAGTGTGTTGATAAGGGTTAAGGACATCTTTGCAGCTCTGGCAAATTTAGGAATCTGTTAATGACCCCAGATCGACCTTAACCCACATACAAGTGCATCACTCTTATACATTAACAAGATGTTTACTCAAACCTGTAGATGTAGATCAATTTTAAATGTCAAGGCAAAAATTAAAGCAAGGTCAACTTTTGATTATTGTATATGTTTGAGGTCTAAACTTAAACTATTCATTTATGTGTTACTCTTAGTCTTAATTCTAGGAACTTCAGATTGCTAGCATAGCCCTTTTTACGTGTACACATTCATATGTATCCAAATGTAGAGGAAAAAAAACAAATGTAGAAGATACGTGATAAACTGAAGTAATTCTTTAACCAATTGTGAACTGATTATTGAATACATTTAAATGTTAATATTAAAATACTTTCTAACTCTTAAAGCTCACTTTTTAGCAAGCCAAAATCTAAGGATGAGAAAAAAATGAAGCCTATTTTCATAAAATATGAAACCTTTGTTTTTAAATTTTGTTTTGTAAGTTTAACCAAGGGTGTCTCAATATTTTTTAGAAAATTGTATTGTTTTAGACTTAATTTTTCAATCATAGCCTCAAACCATCAATTTAGATGACCCATTATAATTGAAAAGTTATGATACAGAGATAATGATAGATGTTGCATTTATAGAACTTATTAAAGTTTATCTTGGTTACCTAAGAACTTGGATGGGTATATGTTGGCAACTTTAAAGACAATTTTACTCTTTCCAAATGAATTATTATTATTATTTTTTATTATTTATGTATTTGGTAGAGAGATTTACTATGCAGCTTTGAGTCATAGTGATCCTCCTGCTTCAGCCTCCCGAGTGTTGAGATTACAGGTGTGCACCACCTTGCCCAGTCTTGGCCAGCATAGCACGCCTGGGGTGGGGTCAGCATGGCATGTTGTACCAGGGATTGAGCCCGGGTCCTTCTGCTTGCCAGGCAGATGCTTAGACTGCTGAGCTATCTCCACGGCCACAGCTGGTTTAAATTAGCCTGCATGATCAGGCCACTGGGCTCAGTTTCCCTGCAGGCCTCATCTGGATGCCCACCAGGCAGCCGCCATGGCTGGTCTTGTCACGTCCGGAGGCCTGTGAGCTCAGCACTGGGCTGCTGGGGGCTGGGCTGCGCACTGCTTGCTGGGCAGCTGTTGGCATCAGCTCGATTTTGTGTATCAATGTGATCACATGCAGCGCCATATTTAAAATGTAGTTTATTTCCCATACTTATTTGTTCTCTTCTTTTAATTGTTCATGATATGTATGTTATCAAGAAACTCCACTACTTATACAAAGAAATAAAAGTTAGAAAAAAAATTAGCCCATTTTTGAACTACTTTAACTACAAGAAGTTGAGAGAATGTCTTTGGTGTTTATCTATAAGTCAAATTAAGCTGAACTTTGGAGGAGCATATAATACATACCTGATGGTTAACATATGGCAACTTATACATTTTATACTTAATCAATGATAACTTTTATGTTATTAAATGTTCAGGCTTTTATTCCTATGTTGTCCTCAAGTCTGTCATTGTTTATTTGAAATGTTTTAAAAGAAGTTTCAATACTATGAAAAATTCTGCAAATGGGCTTTCCATGGGAATCTCAAAAAGAACCAAAAAAAAGTAAAAGTAAAAAGAAATTGTTGAACTCAAAATACATGTTTTAAAGCAAAGCAGCTGCAGTGCTTCAGGCAGTTATTAAAACAAGTTAAACATATGAACAAATATACAAACACAACCTGTTATTTTTCAATCAGTGCTTTCTCATATACATTGGCCAAGCATGATTACAATAACCCTGTACAGTGTTTTGGTTCAGAACTATCGGATACTAGTTAGAGCTTTTCCTATAGGCCATCAGTTGGCAGAGGTGTGAGTCAGAAAGAAAAGAAAAACCTGTTTACACCAATGAAGGCAAAGAGCAATATTAAGAAGGGATTTAGGCGAACAGTTTATCATCTTGGAATAGACCTGTTTCTGTTTAAACGTGTTAAGAGATCATAAGGACTCCCAGGAGTAGTTTTCATTTTATCCGTGGATTCACCTGTGCTGTAAAAGCCAGTTTGTTTGCCTGTGGTGGAGCAGCATTCTAGCAAGAAGAGGAAGAGAAAGGGCTTTTCATTTGCAGTTGTGCCTGAGGACAGCACAGCAGATAGGCAGGGACTAAGCATTTATATTTATTGTTGGCGGGTCCCATGGTGCAATCTAGGTCAGAATTAGGACCTATCCCAGAGAGGAGTCAAGGTCAGCTTCTCTCTGGACCACAGGGCGCGGGGAACCTGCCACCCTGAAAACCCAGTCGTGGAGTAGAGCAGCCACAGAGGAGAACTGCCCTGGAGCCCAAATGCTAAGCCTCTCAGGGCAGGAGACAGTGCAGACCGAGAGCCTCCAGGGTGGGCCTCCCAGGCTCAGCCACACAGGCCTCTAGGACAAAAGCTGCAGCGCACTAAAACTACAGCAACGAGCAAAACAATCAAACCACTGTTTGAAGAAACTGAAGCACTTTTTACCTTATTAAGCAAGGAAGAGAGCGGCTCGCAAGGCAGACTGGAAATGGTCTGTCATACACTCTAGTTTGGGGCTCACAGGTGTGTGTGCTTGAGCCCTTTAAAGAATAATAGGGGTCTGTTTCTCTGGTAAGTTTTTTCCAGTTTGGCATAATTTTCTGGCTTGGCTTGTGTTGTCTTCAGCTTTCTCTACAATTGTTTTTTGCTAATTTTTATTTTTTCTAATTTTATTTTCTCTATTATTTTTTTTCTGCTTCTTACGTCCTAATTTTTTCTACTTTTAGTTTTTATTTCTATTTTTCTTTTCCTATTTTGTTTTCTTTCTCTTTCTCTCTCATAAAAGAAGTCCAAATGTCCTGTGGTATGCTGTTATGATATGTTCCCCTCCTTTCAACCTTCGGGCCGCCTCTCCTGGTCACCAGAGAGCCGGAGGTCAAACCACTCTATCTGAGGGGGATGGGGAGGAGAAGGAAAGCTGTTCATGGCACTTCTTTTGATTGGGCAGATCAAATAGAGACCCTGCAGAGATGCCTGGCAGCCAAGAGTGCATTTACAGGACACGGCGCTGGTCTCAGTTTTCAACCCAGATGTTCCCAGTCCTCCACCTCTAGGCTCCTTCATGGAAACCATTGCATTGTTGTCAAGTAACTGTCAATCGTTTAACAGGTTGAGGTTCAGAAACCTTACATCGAGATGTGTTTAGTAAACATTGTAAATGTTGCTTACATTATTTTTCCTCTTTGGATGAATTTTGATCCACACCATATAACTGAAAGCAAAAGAGGGGAAAGAGCTAATGAGCTCCCCCGCTCCCCGGTAGTGGGACAGTTAAACGCTCTGGGATGATACACCTAATCTGTGACCTTGTTGAAAGCTTTTGAGGCCTTTCAGCCATCATCTTCTTACCAGGATGTGAAGTTGGATGCTGTCTTTCCTCTTCCAGGCTTTGGAAGGCAGGTCCTCTGTGCTGAGTTGCACCAACTTATTCCTCACATGGGCACCACTTGTCACAGTTGATGACCACGGCCTGGTGGAAGGGTGAAAGATGACTGGAGTTGATGTCCAATTCAGACTCCAGAAGGCCCAAGGGACTGCCCTTAACCGGGAGCCCTCAGCTTGAGTCCTATAAAGCCAGCTCTGAACTGAAGCTGCGGTGGCTTTTTATGGGTAGAACCAGGAAGTGAGGATCAAGGACAGAGGAAGGAGGTTGGTGCAGGAATCTA